CCAAGCAGGTTCCAGAATCTTCTCGTTCCTCGGTGTTACCAACACTATCAGGACATCCTATATCCACTCGGTAGTACGCAGACGCCTGACAGTGACAACTTTCCAATACAGAGTATTGGTGTGACCCGAAGTTACAGGTTAATCTAAGCTCCAACTTAATGAAGATCTGTTATCATAACGCAAACCTATTTTTCAAACTTTCGTCATCCATGGGATTTGAACCCTAGACCTGCTACTTGGAGAGAGTAATGACTTGACCACTTCACTAAGCCGCCACACCTCTTTTTTTACAGTATTTCGAAATAAGTTATTTAGTTCTCATTTAATTTTTTATTTATTTTTACTTGGACTATTTGTTAACTATGTTTTCATTTCTAGTTTTTAGTATAAATGATATATTCGAACTTAAACCAGTCTGTAGACTTTGAACCAAACTCAAACCAAACTTAAACTTGACTAAAAAGTCTGAATATAAAAGTCTAAGTCTGGTCTGAAAATTAGACCAAACTCAAACTTGACTATAGTTTAATTTGAATTTAGTCTATAGGAGTACTACTATACAGGTTTTAGTTAATTCTAGTAAAAGAAACTTATGCTTTTTTATTTTGTATACAAGTAGTTTTTTCTTTCTTTACTTTGCCTCTTTGCTACTTTTACAAAAAATTTAACAAAAAGTAGCTAAAATAATTTACTTTCTCCAAAAGATTACCATAGAGCACTGCATACAGTACTCGGTATGACAAATAATGTAGATCAAATTTTAAAATATTATTTATATTTACCATATGATATAAACAATTGTGTAACTTATGTAATCTTTAATTTTTTACTATATAAAAAATTGTATTATACCAGGTACTGTATGCAGCGCCCTACAGTATCATTGTTTATATCTTATATTTTTGAATAGACAAAGTAGAATATAAACACAGAATTGTTTGGCAATAATATTACTATATTACATAATAAATCAACAACACTCTAGTTAACGAACTAGTTAGAAGAAAATTTTAAGAATAAGACTTAGCTTTACAATAAAGATATATAAGATTTTTAAATTTAATATATAATTTTTACAACTGTGCTTAGTATAGGCTATAATAGTACTTTCATAAATTTTTTTTTTTTTTTTGCTTTTTTCTTCTTTTTTTATTTTTTTTTTATTGTTTATTTTCTTGTTACTTAGGTAGTTTTTTTCTTTCTCTCTTTTGTTTCACTCTCTTTATCATTTTAATATTAGTATTTTTTTTATAAGTCAATTAGAGACTATGAATCCTTCTGCTTAGGAAGCTAGGAGAAAAAGGTTAGAAAAAAAGACAATCTTGATAGGCTATAAATACTATTTAGTAATATATCGAAGAATTTATTTGCAGAATTTTTTGATATAAAGATAAACTTTACTATAATAGATCAAGCATGAGTAATTTGGATACTTTGGTGTTACAAAGAGCTGAGTTAACTAATAATTATAACTTAGGTAGACTTTAAATAATTTTAGTTAAAATTATAGAAAAAATGTCACTAGTAGTGATAGTTACTGGATTGCTGATTGGCCAATTAGATTTGAGGTAGACAATCATATATAATTACAGTTTGTTTTTATTTTTTTTTTTGTAGCTAGTATTGGTATAATTTTGTTGTTGGCATCATTGTTTTTTGGTGTTGTTGTTGTTAGTATCTCTTTAGTGGGTTTTTGGCATTTATTTAATAAATCTTTCTTTTGTAAGTCTTTTGCGTTTTCTTCAATGGTTTCTTTGGTGTTTTTTCAGTAGTCTTTCGAGTAGGTTTTTTTGTTTTATTTGATAAGTCTTTGGTAAAACTTTTTTTCGTGTTTTTTGGCATTTTTTTGTTAAGTTTTTGGTCAATCTTTCTTTCTTTCATGTTTTTCAGTATTTCTTTAATATTTTCTTTGGCATTTCTGCATTTATTCAGTAGAGTTTTCATGTTTGTTGCTATTTCTTCAATAGTTTTTTTGGTGTTTCTTTAGTAGTCTTTCAAGTAGGTTTTTTATTTTATTTAGTAAATTAAGTCTTCGGTATTTCTTCAGTAGTTTTTCAGATAGGTTTTTTGTTTTATTTAGTAAGTCTTTGGTATTTCTTCAACGGTTTATTTAGCATTTTTTGACTTTTGTTTTGTATTTCTTTTAACATTTTTTCCGGCATTTTTATGATATTTTCTTTGATATTTTTTTTAGTATTTTTTCAGCACTTTTTATGCCGTTTTTTTCGGTGTTTTTTTTAAGTTTTTTCAGTATTTCATCAATATTTCTTCTGGTATTTTTTTTATGTTTCTTTGATGCTTCTGGTATTTCTTTGACATTTTATTGACATTTTTTATAACGGTTTTTTTTTTTTTTGTGTTATTTCAACAGTTTTTTCGGGGTTTCTTAGCATTTTTTTTGTTGTTTTTTTTTTATATATCTTTTAGCATCTTTTTTTGTTGCTTTTTTGATGTTTCTTTCAGCATTTACTTAATGTTTTTTTTGATATTTTTTTGATATTTCTTTGATGTTTCTTTTGGCAGTTTAATAGTTTTTTTGATAAAAATTATTATGTTTTTAGAATGTTTATTATGTTTTTTTTTTTTTTTTAATATAAATATTAGTAATAAAAAAAACTTATAATTTTTTTTTTGTCTCATGTATGAATTTTGATTGGCTAATCGAATTTGGTTACAGTTACTGCCAGTAACAAATAAATTCACTTAAAATTATATTTCATCTGTGAATTAAATATTTATATCCTAATAAAGTATTGACAAAATTGTCAAATTCAAAAAAAAAAAAATTTTTTAAATTTTTTAATTTTTTTTAACGCAATTTTTTACTTTTTTAAACATATGATGAAGTCAATAGAAAAGAAACAAATTTTTTCTAAGTAAAAGTTTTCTTGACTTTAAGCTTAAATATCTTAGCAATTATCTTATTATATTTAATAAATTTTTTTTATTTTAATTTTTTATAATTTCAAAATCAAAATAAAAAATTTTTAGCAAGTTTGATTAATTAGTTGTTGAGATATTTTAATTAAAAATTAAAAAAAATTTCATTAAAAACAATTTATCCCTTTTCTATTGACTCTACCCCACATATTGCAATATTTTTTACTTTTTTTACTCAAAAAAAAAGTATATTAAAAATGGGGTTTTTTTTGCCCAAATTAGAGTTATTATTCTTTATATAAAATTTAGCTTAATAACTTTCTTTTTTTATATTTATTTTGTAAAGTAAAATATTTCTTCTCTAGAATAATTCTTATAAGCAAGGCTTATCACTATACTGTACCTTAGTTTTAATAAAGTTATATACTGTTATTATCTTGAATTATTTAATTTGCCTTCTATTAGTAAAGCAAGGTATATTCTTCATTCTCTACTCTATTATATACTGTATTCATAAAATATACCACTGCTGGGCTAGAATAAATTAATTTTGCCCAAGATCACTAAAAATTTTACTGATAAAATCATAGCGTTTATTCACTAAGTAAAAATGCTTAGCTAATAATTTTGCTATCACTATAGACTTAGTTGGATTGTATCGGTTAATGTTAGCCCAGTTCAACCTGGAATTTTGGGATTGCCCTGTAAAGGACTGGAATAATCCGACTAACGTCTATCTCTACGTGCCAAACATTAAAAACATGGAACTAGCCACCATAAAAGAATTTTACAAACGTGATTAATTCTTGGATCGATAGTAAATAGAAGTGGTTATTCTCATGCGAATCATGCAAATTATTTCGGATTCATGTGCAAAGATTAACATATTTCACTATTTTATTTTTAAATACAGGAAAAACTTGTTATTTTGGGAACTTCGAACTGGTTGCCCAATTTTTAACAATGTATTATATATCGATATATATATTTATTATATCGTAAATAAAAAAATATATTACGTATTATTGTATACGTAAAAGAAATCCGAATTCTTACTAACCAAATTAAGACAGTATTAAGACAGATTAAACGGTCCAATCAATTTGAAGCATTTCCCTGTATATATTAAATAGTGAAATTTCGAAGCGGGTGAATCAAACAAAATGAATTTGGTTGATGAAACAAGCTTTGTGACTGAGTTTCTCAGTACCTTGAGTACACGACCCGTAAAGTATCCGCAAGATTTTGCACCACCTGCTCAAACACGACCAAGACCACCTGTTAGGGTTAGTATAGTTGAACTTTGACTTGCCTGTTTGAATTCCTGTAAAGAAAAAGTAATTTTTAACCTCAAGATTGAACACTTTCGTTGGAACTTTAGACCACACTTTCGCATGGTAATAGGAATAAGTCAACAGGAAAACAAAAACCACAAGAGACGCCCCAGGAATTTGAATCTTCTCAAGGTGACATACGAATATGTTGTTAATTTTGAGAGTAAAAAAAATGCAAATTATAATATTTTAGCCTAAATTGTAAAATTTTTAGGAGTAGGCATACCGATCCAAGTCCACGTAAAATCGTTAAAGGGTGGTCAAACACATACGGTTCAATTAAGTAATTCGGAAACTGTTCATAATTTAAAAGAAAGATTATGGCCACTTGTTTTAATTTCTCCCGTAAACCAAAGATTGATATTTAAGGGGAAAGCGTTAGTTGATAACAAGACTTTGTTTGAATATGGTATAAACGATGGTACTACAGTTCATCTAGTCCAGAAGTCCGGAACAAGTAGTTCTGGACCGACAATTACAGATGCACCGACTACTTCGTCTCAAGAAGCCCCACAAAATACTAAAGAGCATAAATTACACCAACTTTCTCCTGAAGCAATGGAAAAATTGAAAGATCCACAGTTTTTGCTCTCGTTGCGATCATTTTTACGTAGCCAATTTTCGGATAGTGATGATGCTGATCATGTTTTAAAAGATTTTATTAATATATATCAAGAACAGAATGGCAAAATTACAATTGAAGATTTGGAAAAACTTGTAAAAGATTAATATTAAATCTATATCTTAGAATTATTATGATGATTTGTACACTATATAGTCTGAAAATATTTAAATTATAAGATAGTAATAAGAATATTTTTATTAATTAATATATTACCCAAAAAACGTACTATTTATTATTTCTATACGAATAAAATGCTCTTTGTGCACTAATTATGCTACGTATTGCTACGTATTAATTACTATACTGTATTACTAGAATGTCAACGATTGGACGATCTGCTATCAGTTAATTAATTGTCCAATCAGATGCCGCGATCAACTATAAAGTTCGTAATTTTTTTTGAAAAAAAAAATTTGTATCCGGTATTAACGATAAATTAATTTAATTAATTTTCTACGCGCATTTACTGTATTTCTCAAAATGACCGATACACTTTCTCTTCGCGGGACACTCGTTGGTATGTAAAGTAGTTTTATGAGGCACAGTATAAGCCTTTTATTTAATTAAATCATTTTTAACAGGTCATTCGAACTGGGTGACGGCTATTGGTAAGTATGCAAATTTTTTTCAAGGCAAAAAAAAAAAAAAATTCATATATGAATTCTAATCGATTAAAAAAAAAAAATCTGGCAGCTACAACCTCAGAGAATCCTGAGATGATTTTATCAGCTTCACGCGGTATGTTGTATGCTATAATTTGTTGCATAAAAAGGAAGAATGATTTTTATTGCAGCGAACCATCGAACCTTATTGATCCATTGATATTTCGTCGAATTTGATCGCTAGTCCTTTTAAATATTTCGTTAATGTTTTAGCATTAATTACCGATAAGCTGAATGGTCATTCATACCAACGGAAAACAATCTCGATCATGATCTTATTAATAATTATTATTTACAGATAAGACCATTATTGTTTGGTCATTAACCCATGATGAAGCAACTTATGGTATACCACGTAAAGCTCTCACCGGTCATAACCACTTTGTACAAGATGTGGTCATTTCTTCTGATGGTCAATTTGCACTTTCCGCTTCATGGGACAAAACTCTTCGTCTTTGGGATCTGAATACCGGAACAACTACTCGTAGATTTGTTGGTCATGATAAAGATGTTCTTTCGGTGTCCTTTTCACCTGATAACCGTCAAATCGTGTCTGGTTCAAGAGATAAAACCATTAAATTGTGGAATACATTAGGTGAATGTAAATTTAACATCCAGGAAGATGGTCACACTGAATGGGTCTCTTGCGTGAGATTTTCACCAAATCCGTCCAATCCTGTGATTGTGTCATGTGGTTGGGACAAACTTGTTAAGGTAATTAAATATCTACCATTAATAATAATGATGTAGAATTTTGTGCGATCATGATGTCATTATGTTTATATTTGCTACTTCAGAGAAGGAATCCTTCAATGAGACGAAAAACCAAATCTGAGTTGCACATATTACCTTTTAATATATTAATTTTTTTATGAGCTATGATTCATTATGAAATTCTATTTATTTGAATCATATACTTTTAGGTCAGTGTTCAATTATACGAGTAAAATTTAAAATTCGGATTACAATCTTAAGATAGTATTGAATGAAATATTTGATATTTGTCTATCTTCAAATTACATTCTTATATCATTTTCATATTTGAGATTTTTTTATAACAATGTAAATTTATTTATTTATTTATTTTTAGGTTTGGGAGCTTACTAAATGTAAGCTTAGAACTAATCACATCGGTCATACTGGATATATCAATACCGTTACTATTTCTCCTGATGGTTCACTCTGTGCTTCCGGTGGAAAAGATGGAATTACTATGTTATGGGATCTTAATGAAGGAAAACATTTATATTCATTGGAAGCTGGTGATATTATTAACGCTTTAGTATTCAGCCCTAATCGTTATTGGTTGTGTGCTGCTACCGCATCTTTCATCAAGATTTGGGACCTTGAAACAAAGACTGTTGTTGATGATCTTAAACCAGAGTTTACGGAAACTGGAAAATATTCAAAAGATCCTGAATGTATTTCTCTTGCCTGGTCACCAGATGGTACAACATTGTTTGCTGGCTATACAGGTAAATCTATCCTTTATATATATATATATTATTTTCGTCATTATATTTACATCTATGAAATTTTCTTGTTCTCATTTTTCTTTTTTGATCAATCATAGATAATAAAATCCGTGTCTGGCAAGTTACCAGAAGTTGAAAAAATATTTATATTGTTATCAATCAAATTTCGTGTGATTTCGAATGACATAAAAAATATGATTTATTGTGATTTCAATTTAAAATTAAAATAAAATGTAGATCATTAACGTAATTAACATATTAAATAATATATCAATTAGAGTAATAAATGCACTTGTAGCATTGTATTATATTATATATATTTTATATTGATATACTTACGTTTACCACTGACGAGACATTCATGTATTAAAAAAGGGTGGTAACGTATTGAAATATCTGTCGTGTAACGTTTTAAGCCTTTGTAGATAATCGTGATCGGCTGTTTATGTTGATGTAACTAACATTCTTCTTACGTATTTGACAAGCACTATTACTTAAAGAGTTAGAAATTATGTCTTCACAAGGTAACAATAATTAGCATATTCTTGCTTTCATCGTAAGCGGTTCCAATGGATCAAGATCTTTTGTTTAATAATTCGCGTCATTTTAAAAATCAAGAAATTGCTTATAGTATTCATACGATTTGGTCTTGGACTGATCAGCAACTCGAAGAATTACAAAATATATGGAGGTATATGTTTTTTTCTTGACACGTAAATATAACACACTCGTTTGATACTTGGCTTAAGTAATTATTTTATTATAGTGCACTCGAAGAAAAATATAATTCGACTATAACATATATTCCGGAAAAACAGGTTTAACTCTCTCACACATTTGGTTTATGACTTTGATCTTATTTTAATCATTTTTTGAAATTTTATATTAGTGCTTTGAGTTTAAGCAAACTTCTTATGAAATTTTAGATGAATTGTAAGTTTTATGAGTACAATGCTATTAAAGTATTAAATATGATCTTAATGTGACCTTAATGACTTAATAATGATCTCACAGACGCGATGCACTTGTAGATATTATATTAAAAAAGGTTTGAAGTTTATTATTAAATTTGTGGGGTTTCAAGCTGCTTTTGATTTAATTAATGATCTTACTTGTCTAAGATTATGATTAGATATTGATTTATATTAAATTAGTTTATTTGACAGCTTGAAAACGCATATTATATATATATAATATTAATAATGATTTTTTTATTTTCGCAGTCTACCGATGCAAAGCCGATGACTATGGTTCCTCATCGTTCTAAGAGACGTTCTAAAGTCCCTATTCGTGGCACGTCTGTGCCTGTTGGTTTGCCGCCCCAACATTTAGAAAAAATTGATACAAAGACTCCATCGGTCCTCGATAAAATAGATGATACAAATGGACTTGAAGATACTTACTACATTTCGGACAGTGTTCGTGATGTTTCTGATATGCTGGGACGAAATCAACAATTTAGTCAACCTTGTGATTATTTGAAGGAAATATGTAAAGATTGTGGTGTAGATGGCAGTATAAATTTGGAGAGAAGGGTGATTTGAATTTGTTCATTATTTTTTCATTTTTGACTATTATCTGCTACAACTTTGTTATAATTGATTACGCCTTTATTATATATAGACTATTCATATCGTTGGTGGAAAGAGGCGAAACGTTAATGATGCTATCAAAAGGTTTAAAGAATTGGAAAGGGTTTATGTATGGCATTATGCATCCATTATATATCCTTTTTTTTTTTTTTTTTTTTATACAAAACTCAGACTAATTGTATTTAATTTTAGCTTCGATCTTGCTTTAAACCACAAAAAATACCTTTAGTACATTATCCAAACCAGAGTGTGTTCTTCAGGTTGTACTTCTTAAACATCAAGTCCCATCCATGGTTTAAGCATATGTATACTTCCTCTATCGCGAAAGATGCATATGTAATTATTCCTGTCGTTAAAAATCATATTACTCAAAAATGGACACTCCCAAAATACGTTGAACCTGAACGAAATAAGCCTGCAGCCATGGACAATAATGTAAATAGTAATGCGCCTCCCCGTGGCCGTCCAATTGCTAAAAATCCACCAACTGAGCCAAAATACAATTGGCCTGATGTTCCACAAGCACCTGCTAATATTCCATGGAGTAATGTAGATGCATTAGACGTTTCTTCTAATAAAGATTTCCCGTCCCTTTCACCTTCGGGCGCGGGGTCGAAATCTAAGGTTTGGAATGATAAAGTTGTTGGGAAAAAAGTTGATGAAAAAGGTGGAATAAATGTCGTCATGAGAAATGTTGTTCTTGAGCAAAATCCAAATAATAGTAATGCTTCTTCTGTCAATGGAAATGGCGTGCCTAGTACACCTGGCAAGATGTATGTTTTTAAAATATATAATTATTGTAGATAATATCATTTAACAGATCATTAATTTTTATTCACTTAAAAAACAGGCTCAGAGATTATAATCTCTCCCAAATTAGTCGAGTATTAAGTGAGGGGTACCGAAATTTTAACATAATTCGTTTTGTAAAATGGTATTGAATTTTATGTATAATGACCTCTTGAACTGTTTAGGCTCGAATATGTTCGTTCACAAAGAGAAGAAATTCGATTATTTGGAAGGTATATAAAACATTGTCCTACAACCATATGTATATATGTAATATGCCATAAAATCTCCATTTAAAATATATCTCGAACTTTAATCTTTTGGGATTAGTTTGGGAAAGGTTTTATTTACAAAAGTACCTCCAAACGTTTCAAATAAATTATGGGATTTCTTGGAGTTAAAAGATGTTATTGTTGGAGAACATGGAGTTTGTCCATTATATAGAAATCAGTAAGTGCTTAATAACTAAATTTTTATTTTACGATTAGATGCGTTTATTTATTTATTCATTTATTATTTAGTGCTACAACAAACGAGACTTTGTATCAAAATTTCGTAAAAATTCTTGGTAATGGAAAAACGATATGTGGTAGAAATTCTTTTTTTGAGATTAACGCAAATGCAAGAAATTCTCCACATGCTGGATATACACCTGTTTCTATGTATGTCAATTGTGATTTTGTATCTTTGGATAGAGTCACAATGCAGTGGAATCATCTTGTTGACGTTGATTGGACAGTTTTGGATCGGTATGTTTTCCACAACACAATTAACAATGAGAAATTTATACATTAGATTAATAAAAGTTTCATTGGCTTTGTCTTAAAATTTTTCCTAATGTTTTTTTTTTTTTTATGATTTAGTAATTTCGATTTTGAAATAAGCTTGCAATCGAGACGAGTTCTTCGTTCTGATGTTAAACCGTTCACTACTTTCATGAAAAAAGTTTCAGTCAGCCCGACGAACAATGTGATAACTTATGAGAATGTCACTGATTTCCTTCACGTAAAATCTATCAATTATAAGCAAGTTTCACGATATATGTTACATGAACCTTTCATTGCGGAATTGACTCGCATTGAGCAAGTACCCATTAGTGAGCAAACAACTCGTAAAATTATTGGAAAGACAGGTCAAGGTCCTTACTGGTATACTATTGAGGTGAGTGGTATATTTGTATTTTTCGCACAAATATTATGGATAATTTCACTATATTAATTATTATCATTATTTTAGGTTATTAACGATAAACACGACAAATATTTCAAGACTAACGAGTTTCTTGGCCCTGGACAAGTCACAGAATGGACCGTTGACAACATTATTGGGGACGATTCATCGAAACTTCACCTCATTGAATATGTAAAAGCTATGCTCTTATTAGTTGAACGTTGCCATAAACCTGTGGAACAACATAATGAAGAATTAAAGAAGAAGGATAATATGAAAAAGGTCCAAGATTTAGGGCTAGTGGTTGGACCCGTCTGAAAAATCATGACCCGGCGGGTAAACCCGCGGGTCACCCGGGTGGATAAAATAAAAACCAATTCTTCTATAATTATAATATGAAATTGATAAAATATTTTCATTCTTTGCTCTTTCATACTTAAGAAATTCAATCAAGTTGTGTTACTTGAATTTAACTTTTAATTTGGAGTTGGTTTATCCTGTTTTTTTCTGTATCTATCCTGTGTATTGTGCTTTAACATGGAAATCCTTAATTGATAGAATTATTTTTCTGAAAAAATCTCAAAAATTTTTTTAACTTAACATACATTTGTTACTGTTTTTATATCGCTTGTGTAGATATATACGTATATGCTCAAGTGCTGTATTTGTAAATGTATATTAATGTGATGTAAATTTCAACTTTGTGTGGTATACTTATTTTAGTATATTGTATTTTAGAAAAACTATAAGTTTGGTATAGAAAGAGTTGACTATATATATTGTATTGTATATTTTATTTTTATTCAATAATATATATTAAGGTCGTTCATCGCAAATGCAATGTATCGCCACCTCCATCTAAATAAAAATACATACACATATAATAGTAACTAGAATAAATTATGATCGTTCCGATTTCCTGATCTTTATCTTACACCTTGATTAGTATGTGGTGATGTTCGCAATTACGATTTTTTATATAACAATTATTGTTATATTCAAAACGAATTAAGCTCAAAAGGGTCTCATCATTTAAAAGCCAGTACATTTTGAAGTCTGAGCCTTTTTGACTGTCCGACTCTCATCTGGCCTATAAATCTATCCTAAAAAATGCACGCATATATGCAAAAGTTAATTCTGAACAACTTTTTAACTAATATTAAAGTGGATTAAATCTCTCGTTATTCGGTGTCAAATTTTGTCCGAGTGACAACACTGGATTAATATGGGTACTGTACCAGACCCGGTCCCTGAAAAAAAGTCTGATCAGCAACGTTAGTTTTCTAATCTTTTCAGTGATTAAGGGCTGTGACTCGAATAATGAGTTCATTTCGATTCATCAGACCCAGGTTGACGATTTTACCATGATATTTATTGACTACCATGTTAGATTTTCAAATAAGATTGGCTATTTTAACATATATATAATTGAAGAATAATACTGTTTACCGTAAAATAAGCACCCCCCTCGGAGCAATTTTTATAGCCAAAATTCTCTCGATCTAGTGACTGGATCTACATAATCTTGGTGCCATTCGAATCGACTTGTCAAAATGATTCAAATGGTACCAAAATTATACACAGAATTTTGGCTATAAAAATTGCTCCGAGGGGTGCTTATTTTCGGAGGAATACGGTATTCAACACATCATGGGATTGTTTATTGTTACGTATGTTTGTACTATACAGTATCTACACTCTAGAAAGACTATGTATGGTAAAAAAAAAAATTGTATGTTCATTTGAAGATTTATAAACATTTGTATCAAGCCTAAAATCACGTAATTGAGATCACTTATCATTATGATGTAGTATCCTTTTCTAAATAAAATTTAAATTATTTAGCCATTATTAGGGGCATGCAATTTATTACTATATATAATAGATAAAGTGTAGATATTCATTCACGTGACACGTAGACGATCAATTTCACCCGCGTTTGGGGTGAGACCAAATGTATGTGACAAATAGAATTTTATATTTCATCATATTATAAAATTCTTATCTGTCACATAATTTTGGTCACGAAACGCGTTCTGATCAAAAAAAAAAAAACACCCGCTTACTTATTATAGTACAGTAGTAGAGATTAGTCGTTCAACAGGATTTTTCTTATTTTTCTTTTTTCGTTAACTGTCTCAATCAGTGGAATCTGTCGAGGAAATTTTAATTACTAAGAGTATAAAGTCAAAGTCAAATTCCACTCAAGAAAATTCCATATCCAAAAAAGTGAAACACAATTCCACAAGTGTAGCAAAATCAATTTCTTCTAAAGACGAAGGAAACCAACGATTGTTCGAATCGACTAGTTCATCATCTAAAGACAAAGGAAAACAACGATTGTCCGAATCGACTGTCGCTGTCGTTGTCGAACATTCGTGGGAGAATATTTGAAATAGACGTTGTCTCAGATTTGAGAGAATTAGGTTTCAATCTAAATTGGGTTTTCTTATACATCCACACTGACTCTAATGTAATTTCCTTGAAAATTTAAAATAATTAAATATAACTTTTTTTAACATATAATTATCCTTTTTTTTTTTTTTTTTACATATAATTATCCTTTTTTTTTTTTTTTTTACATATAATTATCCTTTATTTTTTTTTTTTTACATTCCTGTTTTTTTTAAGCCCTCCAAAGTGGTGCACGGGTTTGACTTCCACATGGTGTGACCTGGATAAATAACTAACGAATGCTCATTTTTATTTTACATTACTTTTGAATTCAATAAATATTAAAAGCAATAGTTTTTTTTTTTTTATCTCTATTAATAAAGCAGACTTCATGGAAACTCGGATCATATTTACTTTTCATAATTTATTTTGATGTGTATATATCGGCGTTCACGTATGATTAAAAATTGGTTCAATAATGGAATTATTGACACCACAATGACTTGCGTTAACTTAGAGATTGTACCCATCAAGAAAATCTCTACCCGAGCAATATTAAATTACCTGGTAACTTACTATAACCATATAATAAAAATGTCTACCCGGGTACAATCTCTTATTGATATGCTGCAAAAGTCATTTTGAACTTGAATAACTATTTGGTTCCATTTGATTAAATTGATTTTAATTGACCGATAATTCACAAATATGTATGTCATTATTAGTAAACTAAAGTCAAAACACTACTTAAATTAGGTGAATGTTACTATTATTTAGATGCGCTCTTTATTATAAGATAAATCGTTGCATTATGCAATAGAATCAATCCAACTATAAATAGAGTTTTATCAATTCGTCACTCACTCCGGATGGTGTTAATACTCCTAGGTCTGTGCACAATAACGTAATATAATCAGGTGGTGTATAATCTACCGTGGGATTAATTGCCTAGCATTTAGACAAAAATTAATAGGATGATTAGCATAAATTTTTTGCATAAATATAACATAAATAACAAACCTCATAATTTCCTATAACTTCATCTTCTGATGAGTCAGTATTGTGTTGCTCTAAGTCAGGAAATGTGAGTAAATCGGGTGTGTGAGTCGGAAGATCGTATTGGTTGAGTGGGAATAGACGAACAAATTTATAGCTGGCAATGTAAAAATGTGAATGCGTTAATATCAAAATCCATTATTTCATTCACATTACAGATTATTATCTAAATTTTGTGCTTACCTTTCAATAACTGCATAAAATGGCTTATTAGCAGCCTTTGCAACGACGGCTAGTTGATAAGTACCAATCTAATATTTTTTGGAACTTTTATTCAGAAATTTTATTTAACTATATTCAAAATGCTTTAAATTCAATGTAAGCCTTACAGCATTGATGAGCCCACCATTTTCAACAACACCTTCCGCTCCGACAAAAACAGCATCAACTTTATCAATAATGTAACCTACTGCTGTATCATAAATGACGGTTGCCGGGATCCCCGATTTACATAATACTTTAGCAGCTCCGATCCTAATAGTAATAATAACATCACGTACGTTAGATAAATATCACAGGTAGTATATGGTGGATTTACAATGAAACTTATTATTTACCCTAATTGCAAGGGTCTAGATTCAGTAACATAAACTTTAAATCTCTTTTTGCAAGCGGCAGCACGTTGGAGAAGCAACATAACCACTCGAGAATAAGAATGAATCAATATTGTCTGAAAGGTTGTAAAAATAAAATTGTCAAAAAAATAAGCATCCTAGAAGATTCAAAATTGGACATAAAAGGATACATACAGCATCATCTTTAATAAATTGTACACCTAAATCACCAATCTTTTCACGTACAGCTGCGGCTTTTTCAACAAGAACTTTTCCACTATTTATTAAATGCTCTCTACATGCTTCAAAGTTCTAAATCATATTAATATTAGAAGAATTTAATTTCGGTATAACCTTTATATATATAATATAGTTTGTAGTTTATCATTTACTCACCGTAACATCGTGCGAAGTTCTTGTTACGAACCTTAAAAATAAATCAGCACCAGCTGATAACGAAATTGAATTTTTTACTGATGATTTAAGTTTTTGACTAGCATCTTTCAAAGACTCCATGAATTCCGTCAGCGTGGTTGCTTATATAAAATCAAGAGACGAAATAAACAAAATTTCAAAAATTAGTATCTTTCACAATAACAAATATTTATATATATCAATAAATATTACCTTTACTATGTTTTATTAATTCGACAAGTGACTCTATCGCCGCGATTGGCATGGATAAATCCTGATCTCAATCGAATAAATATTTCATAAATTACAAATTTTTATTTATACGATAGATATGAAAAACATACCGGATCATCTTTCAAAAATTTTTGATAACATGTGACAATATCAAATTGTTCAGCATCATCGGTTGCCTTTACGTTTTCTTATACCGTAAAAAAGGGATATATATTGATAATTTTTACATGATTTATATAATTTTTTTTTTTTTACTAATACTAAATTGTCCCTAATATTCATCATAAGTTTAAATATTTATTCAGAGTATAGATAATGTTATGCTATACATAGAACATTCTGTTTTTAATATAATTCCCAAACTATTTACACCCGAAAAAATATTTTACTCCAATGTAATATTAAATATTTATGGTATTGGTTTTGTTACCTTCACTCATTTTTCTTTGAATTCACGATATCTTAAGAAGTCGACTATAGTCAATTATGAATAATATATAAAAACAATCAAATTAGTGCGTGCAAATGTAGGATTAAAATTCATTGACATAAACAATCCCAATCAAAACCCTCAAGAATAGCCATTCACAAGCATGATAGATTTAAATTCAAGAAACCAAAAGTAAATAAATCAAAGAATGATAGTAATCCATCGATTATTTCGGCAAAACTTTCTTGTGGTGTATGATATACCGCGTCAGGAAATAGATCTTTCTACTTTGAGTAACAATTTTTTAATCATAATAGCTATCTATTTTTTAAATTCGAGAGTTTCGTGAATCTAATTTTTTTGTTTCACTAGTGAATGGCTCGCGTTGGAATTAGAGAGGTGATCATGGGTCCATAATGTTAAAAGCTTTATACCACTTGGTGAACGAGATAGAAAGGGATCCACCTTTTATAAGTGTTTTCTGGTTAAATTATATTTTTTGAAAATTTTTATTTGCATACCACTAAACTGACACGATAAGAAATGGCTGTCAATGGGAAGGCAGCAATATAATAAATATTTTTAGAACGAATTTATTCTAATTCAGCGTAGCGAGCTTTTCCCGTGATTGGTTAATTTTTTGTAAATCATTTTGTGATTTTCGCGAAATTTGACAACTGTTTTCATTATTTTTGAGACATTTGAATAATTGTTGATGTCGGCCGACGTCAATAACTTTATTGATTTCGACTCAGTAAAATATCGATTCGGCTAGGGTTGTTAATGGATGAGTTGGGTTGAAGTTGCTCCAGTTTCACTCCAACATATTAACTCCAAAACTGCTCTGGAGTATGCTACCAGGTACTCCATTAACGACCCTAGACTCGGCCATCAAAAAATTTTCAGATGTCCCAAAAATAATGAATACAGATTAGCATGAAAGACAAATGCCGGGCTCTTTGTGATTCTTGTTCAATATGATGGTTTTGCATTCCTTCAAGTATTTTCGATATGGTAGAAGTAATGCGGTAACGTGTGGATCAAACGTTAATTCCTCAATAATTACATTAGATTCCTCTTCAACGTCACCTGATTGTTCATTATGAGAATAAGTCTAAAATATTAAGTGATAATCCGCGAGTAGCCGGTACTAGTACCATAATGAAAATTGGGGCGAATTTTATAATAGAGCTCAATCTAGTGCTTCTACAAAGAAAAGTTATTTTTTTACTAAGCTAACCTTTCTTCAAGCTCTAACAAAGGTTGTAAGCTCATTTTTGTGATTCTAATGGTAGTAAGATCATTAAAATTGGCCTTGTAGTTCTCGAGATATCTTAAATTTTCTCTTAAAGATTAGGCCATATAAACTTAATTTTTTGGTTCTCATAACCCGGCCGGGTCATATTTTGAAAAAAATTTTTTATATGTTTTAATAGGCGGGTGGGATTTTTAAAAAATTTTATAAAATTTAAAATTTTTTATATATAAAATTTTTAAATAAAAGTCCGGGCGGGCGGGTCATTTTTTTTGTCCCATGTTATGAGAACCAAAAAATTAACTTTGTATGGCCTAATAAATAAATACTTTACGTTCGTCTTTTTCAACTCCAATTCCATTATGATAACAAGATGCAACATAGTATGTTCCACCAGCGCACCCCATCTCTGCAGCCTTTTGATAATAAATGAATGCATTACGTTCATCCTTTTCGACTCCAATTTCATTCTCATAACAATATCCAACCAAAAATATTCCATAAGAATCACCCATCTCTGCAGATTTTTGACAATAAATAAATGTCTTACGTTCGTCCTTTTCAACCAATTTACCATATAAATAACAACATGCAAGAATGATTTGAACCATAGGATTTATTTGATCTTTCAAGCAAAAGTTGATAAAATTATCCGGATTTTGTTTCTTCTTTATGAGAAGTTGTTCTAATGTATCAATAAATGGAACTAGATTTCCTTCCTCTAATCTTATTTTATTAATCAGATTACATATCTCTTTATCAATTTTTGCAAGAAATTCCTGTGAAAAATTCTGTGATTTTTCTTCTATATACAATTGGATAATATTGTTGGCTATTTGAGTAATATCTGATGAACTATAGATGTTCTCCGGCTGATTTTTGGTTAGGTTGTTGTAAATTGGCATTTTGGTGCAAGAAAGAATGTGCTACGTATAGATTAGTGATGCCGACATAACTTTTAACAGCACTATGTTTTTGTTTTATCACGTGGTAAAACCGATTTAACTTTTATCGTAGGTTAATAAGCTACCTTTTATCGTAGGTTAAAACTGTTAATATGCAATAAAACTATAGCTTAAGAAATTTATTGAGCATTATTTTTTTAATATTTGCACTTAACATTTATTGTGCCTTTTTTTTTTATTTTAATTAATACTTGTGCTTAGCCTTTATCGAGCATTGTTTTTTTTTTAAAATTAATATTTCGCTTAACATTTATTAAGCATTACTTTTTTTTTATCTAAATTAAACTTGCGCTTAACATTTATCAAGCATTGCTTTTTTTAAATTATTATTTGCGCTTAGCATTTATTGAGCATTATTATTTAATTAATATTTTCGTTTAACATTAATCAAGAATTATTATTTTATTGAGCATTATTTTTATTTATTTATTTATTTAATATTGTATTTATGTTTAACATTAATTGAGAATTATTATTTTATTTAATTAATATTTGCATTTATTTGCACTTAACATTTATTGTATAGCTTTCTTTAAAGCCAATTGTTATTATTCTCAATTCCCAGCAGCATTCGATGCTTCAAAGCTCACATTTGCTAGATTTAGTTTATATTGTGTTTAAATATTAATATTCTCAATTCCTAAGACCTCATCAACTATATTTGATACTTCGAAGTCCATATTTCCATAACCTTTGCCGGATATTGGTTTAGGTTATGGTTTAAAACTTTCACAATATGATTCTATGTCATTAAAATTAAAAATAGGTAAATTAAGATCTGCTATATCTTCGACATCTAGCTTTATTTCAGAAGCTATTAGTGTATTGGAATTTGCTGAAGCGGAGAAGGGAGTATTTTGATCTATAATATAAGATTCGGATTCATCATTATCATATGTGTCATTTATATTAAATATATCAGATTCCGAAGACAATTCAACTGGAATTGCTGTTATATTAGCACATGCCCGCAATTCTTCTTCAGTTAAATCTTTTCCATAGTGCTCAAGTTCTTTCTGAATTTCTGTTAACCAATACATCCGTAATTTAGCCATAGATTCAACACGTTTTATTGTAAGTCTATTTCTTCGATCTCCATAAAACCATTTTAGGATAGAAAAGTTTTGTTCACATGCTGTTTATGATGGCACAATTGAAAACATTTTTATAGCCAAATCTTCTAGGCTAGTATGATATTTTATATTATATATTAACCACCATGTAATTGAAGAATCTCTTTGAGAATCAAATTTACTTTGTAAGGTTCTTCATTTTTAATAAATTTGCGAAATTCAACTAGTAAATCAATATATTCAGCTTCATCATGATTAAGAGCTTTCCAATAATTAGTAGCTATTAGACTTGCTAAACGAAATGTTTGTTCTTTAAGACCATATCCTAATAATTATATAATTATACTATAAAACTTATATTTAATATTTGTTTAATTAAATTTACTTACCATGGTATAATGGATGTAAATAATAACTTAAAAGATATGCTTCATGATTAAGTTCTTTATATTGATTATTAAAAATTGCTATTATATATGATTTAAATAAATTTTCTTCTAGAAGTTAATAAATTTCCACTGCTAATTTTAATACATTAATGTAACAGTCTGCTAATGTTGCAGTTTGAGCTTCAAGTCTTCCAATACATATTTTTATAGGTTCCATAATTTGATTAATAAAATGACAATTTATAAAAAAATTTTCATTATTGTTTGTTAAACTACTTTCATAATTAGTTTGTATCTAAAAAAATTAAAAAGATTATTATATTATACAGTTAAATTAATATCAATAAATATTAAATATAAAATAATTTACTCAACTAAAAACTGGTTGTAAGTGTAGCAATGAATCTGTCATATTCCATAAAGGGCACCATCTTGTTTTTGTATAAGTTTGTAATCTGCCACCCTTAATTTTCATTATATTAATTCCATCTTTAATTAACCGATTAGGTAAGTGTGATTTATTAAAAAATTGTATTACATGTCCAAAGTTTCTATAAATATTTTGACATGTGTAATTTTAGTAAAATCTTCTGCAATTAAATTGATCAAATGAGTGATGCATCTTATATCTAAAATATATGGATAATTATTATTTGTAATTCTGCATGCAACTCTACAATTGCTTCCAGAATCTGTTACAACTGCGGCAAATTTTTCAAGGCCAATTGAAGTTACTATTGCACTTATTTCAGATGCTAAAAATTTTCCAGTATTTGAACAGTTGGAATAATTTTTTAATGCAACAAGATATTCTTTGCAATCAAAGGTAGTAACAATATAGTTATATATTGATGAACCTTGAGGAGATGACCACCCGTCTAATGCTAATATAATAAATTAGTAAATATATATTTTTATAAAATAATTTTAATTAATTTACTTACTTAAAGTTAAATTTTTATTTTTATCAAAGATTATAGAAATTTCTTTGTTACTTTTGCTATTTCTTTATCAAGAATTCGACCAGATAGTGTTGTACACCTAGGTGGATGATATGCAGAATTAAGCTGCATAAATAAATCTTGCATAAATGGTGACCCAAGCTTTTAAAACAGCACGGTTAAGTGAATTTTGACGATCTATAGAAAGTGATTCTGAATCATTTGTATTAACTAGACTTTTTGATTTGCGGTGTTTTGTTTTGAAAGTTCTTTGATAATTATTATTTCGATTATTAATTTTATCCTGCCAATATTTTTGTTTGAATTGTGAGCAGCTAGAACATTCATTGGCCAAATATAATTCCATATTGGCTGGTATTCCTCTTTGCCAATGTGTAAGACAATATTTACATCAAAAAGAATAGTAGTTTCTATTTTTTCTATCAATATTATAATCGTCCCATACTTCCCCACGAGGCTGACCACAAAAATTAGGTTTTTTACTTGAAGAAGTAACTGAACAATCATCAGTATCACTTGTAGTAATTGAATTATTATCAATATTTGATATGTTGAAAGTAAAGAATTGTTAAATTAATTGTTTTGATGTTAGTTTTATTTATAATCAACTTTTATATCATTTGATAGTTTAATTTTTGATCAATATTTTTATCTATAGTTATAACATTTTTATTATAACAGTTTTAACTTATGATAAAAGTTAAATCGGTTTTACCACGTGATAAAACAAAAACATAGTGATGTTAAAAGTTATATCGGCATCACTAGTATAGATGTATCAAATACATTTAAGATATTACAATCTTGGATATTGCCAGATATAGAATTGATTAACATAATACACGTATAATCTAATTTCTATATTGGCAGTCTTGGTTTGGTAAAACACATTTTGCTACTTTTTTTTTTTTTTTCAAGGTGAGATTACTTCTCTAGATACTTTTTATTATGTTAACTATATATCTATTATATAACTAACTTTTTATATATGTCGAGACTAAGGCTATAATCAACTATCTATATCTGGGAACTACCTTATGTGATAATTTGAAGTACTCTAGTATCACAATTTACCTCCGACCTAATACCTGCTGGCAAGATAAGCGACCTACTAGGCTTAGATTGTTTGTGTCCTATGCATAACAACCTTTTCGCAGTTACCGAAGTTTTCACTTGCAATTTGTTGTCATACTTCAAGTCCATCAATGATGTCCCAGGTTCCTACCCCCGTGGTGTAGGACTTTAATAAATCTGCAGTTTCTTAACACATGACTCCATTGATTGCTTTTTTCCCTTATCCAGTTCACAATAACCCCAGTACCAACGTTTGAACTGTCTTCTTACCTGGATTCTTTATTGGTCCCTCCCTTACTTCCAGCTAGCAACCTTGAAGGGTTGGTTTGCCCAGGCTTTAGGTACCTGAAGGACGCCCTCCCCTTGGTTCATACTTTCGGAGTGTATGTTCTTTTCCTCCGGTGCGACAACCCAGTGGTTTAGCTAGTGTGTTCTCCGCTATAGAACCTGGTCGCTCAGTTCTCCGATCTTGGGCCCTGGTTCAAATTCAGCCCTCCTGTGATACTGTCGAAGATCACTGCTTCCTCCAGATTTGGGTCTTCCCAAATGGGTTTTTGGTTATTCTGGTTTCTCAGATTTATTGCACCAAAGCTCCCATAACAAGATAGTGTGACTGAGATTACAGATTTCTAAATCTAACCAATAATCGACAACCATAAACCATAGCACAGGCTATTTTTGCAAAATTCGTTGTCCGTGGGATTTGACTCTAGACTTGCCACTTGGAGAGGGTGACAGCTAAACCACTACACTAAGTCTCCACACCTCTTTGCATTTTGCTACTTTTGTTTTTATCAATTTTATCATTATTGAAAAGTTGTCTAAAAAAGGAGATCCACTATAATGCATATTGAAAACATTGTACATATAATTTATTCTCTTGCACTTATTTGTTCCATAACCGAACAGGAAAGAGCAGAGTGGATCTGGCCCATGCAGTGTAGAGCAATAGAAAAATTTGCAATTGTACTTGTAAAAGAATTTTTAGGTAATGTATTTAAAAGTAAGTATCACAGGTTTAGAGATACTAGCAGTTTAGCACTATTAATCTAATGAATACTCGCTTATTTATTTATTGAAAATAATATTGATAATAATATTGATTATTCTCTTTATTTAAAATTTGCATAACTTTCTCTTCAAACTAAGCTAAGACTAATCTTCTTATTGTAACTTTACATTTCTTATTTATACCCTTATATACTATACTCTAATAATAACGCTACTGTATTCCCAATTACAGTTTATTTAACTCTATTGGAGTTATTGTTTTGCAAAGTTACTTTAAGCTTTTGATTATCGCCTTTACTTCAGGTTACCGTCACTCACGTGACAATAAGTAGTCATAATTAATATATCACAACAGATTTTATTATTTTGCTTTAAATTTTTCCTTTCAAATTTTACTGCCCTAATAAATTGATTGATTGCAAAATATTTGTTTGATTCTGAGTGAATATGTCAATTTTTATTAACTGTATTACTAAGGTTATATCCAGTTCTTATATATGGAGTTCTAAATTACTCCTTTTAATAAAAATTATTTCAACATTTAGTTTGCCAAAATTAATTTTCTTAGTAGTAAAATTAAATTTTCATAATTGTCAAAATTTTTGATGAAATTATCTGAATTCTTTGTCAAAATGCATTTTATATTTACTTTGTGAAATTCATATAAAAAAAAACTTGCAATGTCGAAATTGTTTTTTTAAAAAAATAATTTAGTTTCAAAAGTTTAGTCCAGATTGGAGATGATAAGGACCATCAGACCGTTTAAAAGACTGGTCTAGAACCGGCATCTGTGATCATCACTAGAGAGACATTTATTTGATTGGTTAATTTTTGTAAATTTACCAAATTTACTTGTAATTTCCCATGATAATTAACCAATAAAATACAAGTAACTCTTGATATAAGAAAGGTGGCTGGGTTCATAGTAAAAACTTTATAAATCTTTCTTATATCAAGAGTTTATTAATAACTTTCTTATATCAAGTAGATTTATTATAGACTGGTTTTGGCTTGAACTTTCTTATATTAAGAGTTTAATTAGTTATTCTTATATTGAAGGTTTCTTATATCAAGAGTTACTTGTACATAGTTATTAATTAATAAGGAAATGAAAGAAACCTTATATAAAGAAGCCTACAAACTAATAAATGTATGCAAAGAAATTATTATTAATATGTAGAGAATATATAGATACGCGTAAAGTGAACAAATAAGATATTTATTACTAATAAACCCAAACTATTAAAGAATCTATCTAAGGTAGAAATTAAAACTATTAAAACTTTAACTATTAATTTATGGTTGACAAGCCCAAACACACTACAAGAACTGAACAAATTTAAATATTAAACCCAGTTCTTCTTGTTAAAGAGCTTGTACCTATTCAAATTAAGTAATTCGAAATAAAAGCTTATTTAAATCTAACGTAATAAAATAGGTTTAGACAAAAACATTTCTGGTTACCTTCACTCTATAGCATAATTTTTTATCATATGGGCCTTATGTAACAACCTGTGCTTTTTTTGAAAGCTTATTTGCATGAGTATATATAAAAATCATGTGATTTTTATATATACCCATGCGAATTGGTTATTTTTATAAAAAGTGATTTTTTGAACTTATATTAGAATGAATATAAAACATTATAATTATACTAATTTTATTTATTTGTATATATTGTAATAATTACATTGTAATTATATTGAAAAAGGTTTTTTAATAAAAAAAAAAATCAAAGAAAAAAAAAATTCGCAAATTGAAATTTTTTTTAAAAAAAACTCATTCAGAAAAAAAAAAGTTCTCAAATTAAAAATAATTAATCTTTTTGAAGAGAAATCTTCGAATTAATGTTCAGACACTTCTCAGTATTAATTTTGAATTATTATATTATTTGTAATCAATTGTAGTACCTTTCGCTCTTTACTTGCAATTGATGCAAATATTTGTATATCTTCGCAATGGACAGTTTTTTCCTGTGATACTTTTTCTTGATTATCATGATGTGATTTTTCTGATTGTGATGTCTAATTCTGATTATTATATGCTGATTTTTCTGCTTGTAATGTTCAATTCTTATGGTGGAATCATGCCTTCTTGTGATTAATCAATGGATTTTTAAATGGCATTAGAAGTTTTGAATTCAAATTCAACCCAGCCTTTTTTTTTTTTTTATGAAATTTATCTAAAAAATGAAAAAAAATTCAAATTTATAGACTTATTTAATTAAATTATAATAAAAAAAAACCTGAAATCAATCACTTGGGATCAGGTTAAAGGGTTCTTGATTTTGTGCCGCATAGAGGTTGAATTTAAAATTTTTTGATATGGTGATGATATTGTAATGGGATTTGAAACTTCTTCACTCAAATTTGATATGCTTGAAATCTCAATTACTAAAATCTCTGGAAGGTAAAGTAAATATAAATTGTTAATATTGTTTTTGATAAAATACTAACTTGCTTCTTCATTATTTTTATCAGATTTGTAATTAATATAAAAATCTCCTGATAAGATTCAAGGTTTTTATTGTAAGTTGCATGTGGAATTAGTAGTGCTGTAGATAATAGTTGCTGATCATTTGTAGGGCTACTATAAACATGAACACCTTTGTATAAACAATATCTTGAAAATATAATAGTTTTATTTTCAGGAACATCAAAAGCCTTCAACATCATAATTGCAATATGATAACCACTGTAATTTGTTATTTTTCTTCTATTAAGGTTAATTTCAGTGTTGATTACTATCTGCTATATCATTGGTTTAAGCTTGTTCTCACCCATCCGAGAACTTTTATACCAAATGCCTTTTTATATTTCTAAAAAAAATAAAACTAAGTTAAAACTTATTCAATTATTAAAAAAAATAATAATAAAAATCCACAATTGTCTGTTGTATCTGCTACTCCTAGCCCTGCTTTAAAACTTAAAAAATCTTCACAATGAAGGGCCAACTATTTTTAATACCTGAGCTCAATTGTAAAATAAAATAGAACTTCTTGCATTTATAGTAATATTAAAAAAATTATATAAAATAAAGATATAATAGATATATTAGTAGTTTCAAAGCTGTATCTTAAACAACAATATATGACTAAATAATATTAAGATAATATTAAAGCTATAATATTTTTATTAGAGCCCATTTATGAACTACAAACATACTTTCTTTCTTAACCACTCATTTATTGGAGATGCATATACAGTTTTTTTGATAATTATTTTGCATCTTAATGAAGCTAAAAAAGAAATAAATTTAATAAATTCATGTATATTGGTAAAAATTCTTGTAAAGCTTAACAAATATTGAAACAAATTACAATTTTCTCTTTTAGAAGCAGTATTACACAACCCAATATCCAAATTTTCTACCTTTCATTCTAACTCTGAAAAATAATGTACATCAAATAATTAATAAAACTTATCATAATAGTTATGCCCTCTAATAAAGAAGTAAATATACAAGTTCTCAAAACTAATCACTCATCTTGTGATTGTTTTCAAAATTATCTAAAATGAACTTATAATGATATGTTAGTTAGTTGTAACATCTTAGATGAATATTTGAATATACCTAATGAAAATATGAATGTTTTTGTATTTTGAAAATTAGATTCCTGAATATAAAGTGGATACCTCTTGTTAAAATAGCTAAGAACTACCTGATTGTTCAGGCAACTAGCATTCTGTGCAAGCAAGCATTTTCACTTGCTAAACATATACTAAAAACATGGTTTGATGCAGGAATATTAGAAAATTTAGAAATTAGATTTGAGCTTTCAAATTATTAGTATATGTATACATACACAGTTTTCTTTTTCTTAAATTTTTTATTTGTAATAAAGGTATTACAAAATTTATTATAAACCATATAAACAACTAGGGTAGGACCAGTTTTTACTTATTTTTTGACAGGGGATAGACTAGTTCCTTAACTAGTCCGGACCCAGACTTTATAGATGCTGGGACCAGACTGCACCAGACGCACCACTTAACATCCCTAATGCTAATGCTGTGAGTCTTGTGAATTAAATAAGCTAACATAATGTAATACGTAGTTCAAATTACTTATTAAATCTTTGATCAAATTACTTATCTGAAAAGTAGTACTACTGCTAACAGATAAAATAGATTACTACTCTAATAGCAATAATTTATTTTTTAAATTTTTTATAATAAAAATATTGAATAAATTATTAACTTTGATTAATAAATAATCATTAGGTTCATACATGTACTAAGTCAGAATGAAGGCTGCTTAAACCTGAGTTTGATTGTACTGGTTCTGTGTGGCATTGCATACTGCGCAGCTATCATATAGCAGATAAACCTCAAAGTTAATTTCAATGTTGACCAACCTTGTGCTCTAATTGGTTTATTATTGCTAAGCAAATTTAATATAGAAATTGATGTTTCAAAAGTAGATTCTGGTCACATTCTATTGCAAATTCTACTGCCAAATTAATAACAATTAGAAGACCTTTTCTAGTTAACAATAACTCGAAAGTTTTAAACACGCAGCTTATCTAAACTTTGGTCTAATAAAACTTCTAGTTATTATGAGGTATAATTTTATAAACTTTATTTTCTAAAGCATCGTTATCTTCTTAGACATTTCTAAATCTAAAATAGAGACTAAATACCATTACTATTTTATATAAATCAAATGATTATAATTAAGTATTTTAATTAAATTGAAAATATTTTCTAAATACTTATAAAAAATTTTATCTTTGCATATTAAATACAGTCCGGAAAATTTATATGAAATAATTTAGATTAAGTGATACTGTTTATGGTACAGTATTTCTACAACCACTAAGAACGTAAAAAAAATCAAATCCTTGTAAATTATTTATGTATCTTATAAATAAAACACATATTTGACTGGACGGTAACTATAATATTCTAGTTAAATATGAGAAAAGTAATGAAGGTAGTCATGGATAAAAATAGCTAATAGATAGGGACTTGTTCCTATGTAAAAATCGGCGATATTAAGGAAATTAGTTATCGCAATAAATGAACATAAAGTAAAATGGTTATGACTAAAAGTAGTTTACTGACATCAATTTTATTGGCTTGAGAACGGTTATAATTATTATTAATGCAAGTACTACCAGATGAACAGTTATTTGATTGAGAAGTATTTGATTGAGGATTTGATTGAGGAGGATTAAAATTCGATTGAACAACTGGACTATAAGTGGGAGTAGGTGGTGTAGGTGATACATTAAATGGATAATTTGGATCTTTTCCTAATATGCATACGTACAATACCGTGCCATCGCACACATAGGCTCCCGATTGTAAGTTGCATTGTTTCCAACTCCAATATGCACCTGAACCTCCATATGACCCTTTGCAATCCACATAGCATAAACTAACATTAGTTACTCCGGGACATTGTTGAGAAATAGCAATTTGGATTGCTGTAAATTGACCACTAGAACCATCCCCGATTGCAACTGCTACAGAACCATCATTTTTTATACACATTGCCATCTGGCAACTTTTGACTTGTGCCATAACGCTAGTTATTGATAAACTGAGGGAAATCATTAATATACCAAAAATCCGAAAACTATTTTGTAAGTCTTTTCTTCTAACCAATATTATCTTGATGATATTCATTATCAAAAGATATGAAAGTAAATATTGGGAAAAGGAAATAGGAACAAATAAGACAAACAAATATATTGACCAAACGTATATGGCTAATTTAAAAATAAACAATTCCCTTAGGAAACGTTTAACAAATATTCTGTAACTTTATAAGCCAATTAGCTCACCAGGAGCCATGTTTGTATGAGGTTTGTGAAGAATTTATAATTAAAATTTCGTGTATAATTATGCGAGTCGATTACAAACTTGCAGCCAAGATCGATCAAATTGTCAGTCTGGTTACCGGGTAGGCCACCTATAATAAATATTTGGAAAAATGGAATAGGAAACCATCCTTCGGCATTTTCTAAGCAACTTTGAAATTTGACTTCTAATTAAAGGCTTGATACTTATTTATGCACCATGCATTTTTGTTTGACATCAAATTAATAAATAACGAAATGTTTTAATTTGAAAAAAAATCAATTCTTTGAAAATATGATGCATTGAAATAGAAAAATAACTAATCAGAAAATTGTCAATTAAATTCAAGCTTGTGACCTTGTACAATAATATGCACGTTCGTACGTACAATGAAAATGAAAGGCATCTTAGTATGTACTTATACTTTATGCATTTATTTAACCTGTGTGATTATAAAAATTTCAATATTCCAATACAATCTAGTTTAATCTTAACTACATATTATAGTCACCAGAATAGCAAGTAAGCTTTGTAACGGAATTTTTTATAGTAACTCCTAAACCTATAATAAAATTCACAACAATTTTAATAAACTAACTTAATTACATATTGTGCATCACTAAAATAATGAATAAGTTTTAAATAAATAGTCACTGAAATAACGAGTATGTTATGTAACAAAATATTTACAGTAACTCACACCAAAATAAACCTTAACTACGTACTACTTACAGTAAATAGGTATGCACATATATTTAATACCATTACTTTAAAAAGTTATTTAGTAATGTATATTTTATACTCCGGATTGGAGTTTTGCCCCAATTCGAAATCGGAATACGTAGTCGCAAAAATTGCAAAAATACCATCTGGGTAGCCAAACTCTGAATCGGGGCGATTCCAATGAAGGTACGTACGACATATATGTACAGTGCAAGTATTCCAAAAATTACAATTGCGCCTTATGGAATTAAAATATAAACACTTATTGAATGATTTTTAGGTGTAACTTGATTTTCGTTATATTACGCTAAACATGAAATTTACGAACTACAATTTCAATAAAGTTAATGCAATCAAGTAGCACGTTAAAGTAGAATATTTTTTAAATAGTCGATTTCAATTAAGTATTTATCTTTACTTTATTGATGTTAACAATTTAAGTAATATTCGATTTTAATCGTCATATTTTGCACATATAATTGTTGTTTTATATTTCTATTGTTAATTATTGTAACTCTAAGCTTTTGATTCTTTATTGTACAAGTAATTATTATGCAATGTTATTATTGCTTTCTAAAATTATAGAATTATAAATAACTTGAGGATGTAAGAAAATCGGCTGATTTAGTTCGTTTAAAAGGTTTATCGCTCTTTGCAAAATAGTGCGACAATTGAATCCTATAATGGTAATATACAGAATTACAGAAAATGAATTTGTTCACTCTATGAATTCTGCACATTATTATTCTTTTTTTAACCGTATAATGATAAAAATAGATTCTTACCTATTGTTCTTCCGTCCAGCCTACCTGCATAAAAATTTGATCAAGCATTAACATTCTTACGTGGTACTGTATATGAAGCCTTGATAAACATATGCAAACAGTGTTGGAAATTTCAGCAAATACTGTTCTCGTGAGAACAGTATAATAACTTCTCAAACTTAAATTTATGTTCGCAAAACAAAAAAAAAAAAAAACAGTGCCCAACAATATTATATTTTATGTGCTAAACATACGATTTAATAAAATATTATATTTTTGAAAAAGAATTCTTAAAAAATAAATAAATCTAATAATTATTTCTTTACAATGTGGCGCACTTTTTTCATTTCAAATCTGCATCTACTTATTATATACTTATAAGAACACAAATATTAATCTGCCGTTCTCAAAAAATTTTTAATAGTGAACAGTAAAAAATTTATATGTTTTATAATACAGTAGCTTGAATTAAAAAATAGTGAAATTATATTAATGTTGTGGCTACATCAAGAGTTACGAGTTTACTAATTTCCCCGCCACTTCTGATTGGTTCTACTAATTATTCACATATCGGAGTATCTGTGTTATGCGGGGGAAATTAGTAAACCCAAGAGTTACTATAACGAGATCTAACTGTATCTAAAATTAGGCTCGGACATCCGAAAGTAAAGTCCGTAGTTTACTGTTCGCAAAAAAAAGATTTCTTAACTCTAATTTTTTCGATTACAACTCTGACACAAAAAATAACTCAGTACTGATTTATCTATGAAAATTTTTCTTGTGAACATTGTGCGCACCTTTGTGCTTATGTTTTGTGATTGAAATTTTATGCCACTCGTAAATGTACGTACAGTACATACGTATGAACGCATTATGTTTTTCGTTATAAATTTCCTTTCTTGGTTGTATCGCAGGTGTAACGATGTACGTACGTACGAATCGATTCTAAAAATAATTGTAATAAAATATTGTAATAATTATTGCGCTTTGCAAAAAAGTGTGACCCTGTGATTTCACGGTGATGATGGCGGAAAAATTTCCGAGATTTTAATTCCCTATTGATCATAATTTTCAATCAATAACGTCTATATTTTATCCGAAATCCTTAAAATTCTTCAAAAATCGAAAAATCCACTAGAATCGGCTGATTTCTCGTGATTTTACATAACATCATGATCTGCAGAGGTCACACATTTTTGCAAAGCGCAATAAATAACTTTAAAATATCGAATTAAAATTTTAAATTTGATCAGGCAAATTGGCAATTTTCTTTACGATAAATAAAAATGTTTCGAAGCGAATAAAAATTTAAATTTGGCTTACAAGAAATACAAACCTATCGATGATACAAAAAAAAAAAAAAAAAAAAAACATCCCGGTATTCCACTGAGATCTGGCGTTCGTGCATTTTATTAATAAACTAGTTGATCATGTCCTCATGTACGAATAACTCAATTAAATACAACAATTATTAGTATCTTCATATACCCTTAACTATGTGACACATTCGAGACCTATTTTCCATTGAACGCAAAGCATTTAATTATTCTTCTTCTGTAGGTTGTCTCAGTTTAAGAAGAGGTGATTTGAGATTAACACTGTGACTCCAATCTAGAGTTTCGTGGCGTAATCTAGAGCTTAATTTGACCCTAATTACTTAGACCAAGTCTTCAGCGCCTCTTTAATAGCTACCAATAAGGTTCGGATAGAGTTTGTGGAAGGTTTTAGTGGAGTATTGGTTTGTTTGTTGATTAGCATTACACGTAGTGCGACCTATCCGTACAAGTGGAACACAATACTTATTTGGAGTGATGGCGCAAAATAGGGGTTTTATAATCATGAGGCTTTACTTATAAGGGAACATATATAGCTGTCAGAAAAAGGAAATTCAAAAATGAAAATGATTTGCAATCATTACTGTATTGAAATTTCCTTTTATGAATTCTACCACATCTATAGATACGTACGTACGTACAGTACGTAATTAACTCAGTCTTGGGTCTCAGACCCGATCAAGGGTTTCTTAGGTTTCGAACCCATGTAAATCGCGCGACAGCAATAAAATGGAACATACTAGAAAAATTACAGAGAAATATGCTACATGACTACAAGCAAAAGCAATGTGTAAAAAAAATTTTACAAGATTTATGTAACTGCCCCTCGTGATTGACTGGCTATTGTCTCGGATCATCGTTAAATTCGGATCATTATGAAATCTAAAAACCCTTATCTTAACCAATCAAATGCTTTAATTTAACGATCATAATAATTCGTGATATTGATTATAATAAATGGATCTCAGAGTTGATATAACGTTTACTAATTTTGGGCTCTAATGATTATATAAATTTATAGTAGGCTATTTTGTAAATTTGGATTTATGTATTGCTAAGCAAATTTAATATAGAAATTAATGTATTAAAAGTAAATTCTAGTCACAAATTCTACTGCAAAATTAATATAAAGCTATGAATATTTGAAGGTCTTCTAATTATATCTTTAACATAGTAACTCCCAAACTATAAATATGAGCTTATATAAATTTTAATCTAAAAAAACAAAATAAGGTATAATTTTATAAATTTTACCTTGCTTATTAGACGATCCTAAATCTAAAATAGAGACTAAATGCTATTTCTAATATGTTGATTTCGGATTATCACCGCTGTGAAAATCAGCATAACAACATGAATATATCCTGCAAGATGGTTTTTAAATAAATCAAATAAAATATTTTAAATTTAATTTAATCTTTCAAGTGAAATTTGAAAATATCATCTTAATTACTTATAAAATTTTTTCTTAGAAATACAGACCAAAAGATACTGTCTATGTTCAGTGCCCAGAATTCTAGAAACATTTCCTGAACCGCAAAAAATGTAAAAAAACAAAAGATACTAACTAAATTCCATAAATTATTTATTTACCTTATTTGTAAAAATACATATTTTACTGGATGCTAACGATACTTTTCTAGTAAAACATGAAAACGTAATGAAGGTAGTAGTCATTGATAAAAAAACTAATGAGATAGGGGCATGCTCCGAAGTAAAAATCGACGATATTAAAGAAATTAGTTATCACAATAAATGAACACAAAGTAAAATGGTTATGACTAAAAGTAATCTACTAATAAGATATAATCTGGCATTAACTTGATTGGCTTGAGAATAACTATTAACATTTGATTGAGAAGGATTTGAATTTGATTGAAGAGGTTTTGATTGAGAAGGTTTTGATATAAGAGCTGTGATATAAGTGGAAGTAGGTGGAATAGACGGAATAGCTGGAATAGATGGAATAGGTGGTGTAGGTGCTGTATTAAATGGATAATTTGGATCTTGTCCTAATGCGCATAAATTCAATATGGTGGTACTATTACACAAATAGGATCCTGATTGTGAGGTACATTGTTCCCAAATCCAATATGCACCTGAGTTTGCATATGACCCTTTGCAATCCACATAGCAAAAAGTAACATTAGTTACTCCGGGACATTGTTGAGCAAGAGCAACTTGAATTGTTGTAAATTGAGTACTAGAGCCATCACCGATTGCAACTGCTACAGTACCAGTACTTTGATTCTTTAAACACATTGCCAATTGACAACTTTTAACTTGTGCCATGACGCCAGTTATTAATAAACTGAGAAAAAGCACTAATATACCAAAAATCCAAGAACCATTTTGTAAATCTTTTTTCCTAAACAATATCTTGATGTTATTCATTATCAAAAGATATGGAAATAAGTTTTGGGAAAAAGAAACAGAAACAAATAAGAGAGAACAAATGGTAATCTTGATATTGACCAAACGTACATAGCTAATTTAAAAATAAAACAACTCCCTTAGGAAACGTTTAACAAAAATTCTGTAACTTTATAGACCAATTAGTTCACCCGGAGCTATTATTGTATGAGGTTTGCGGGCCGATTACAAAACTTGTAACCAAGGCCGGGTCAGTCCGGTTGTCTAGGCAGACTATCCCATAAGAAATATTTGGAAAATGGAATAGGAAAACTATTCTTCGGACCAATTTTGAAATATTGATTCTAATTAAAGGCTTGATTCTTCTTTATGCGTCATACATTTTTTGCTTGCCATCAATAAAATAAATTAACAAAGTACACTCTAACATCATTATAACGGACCCTTTGGGCTGAAAGATTTTATCCATTATATCCATTATAAATGAATATTTGTTATAATGTTATATAATATAATAATAATAATTTCAAATTGTTTGATATAATAAGGTATCCGCTATGTTATAACGAGGGAAAAGTGTATTTTACATTGAAAAAAATCAATTCTTCGAAAATACTAAAAAAGTATGTGACTTTGTACAATAATTAGTTTAAACCTAAAACTAAACAATAACTACTCTAAAACTACTTAAACTATCTAAACTATAATTATAATACTTCAAAACTAGCGTCAAGACTCCAAGGACCTTATGGTGGAAAGCTTCAAATAGAGGTGTGGAAGACTTGGTCCGAGTTACAAGGTCTTCTGGGTCTTGTAGTAGGTTGCCGGGTTTAATATAAGTATCCTTTTTGGTCTTATTGTCTCTTGGTTGTTTCTTTTTATCAATATTTCTAACACTTAATATCTTTTATCTCTTGTATTCTAACGTTACGGCTTTTCTTGGTCACGTGGATGTTTCTTCGGTAGCTGCGGCTTTTCGGGAATTCAATATTCGACTTTAAACGGCGTTATCAATTTTGATCATCAATAGATCGGCTGAGTTCGGATTTTCAATTTACTTCTAGTGGGTGTTCGGATTTTTAATTTACTGAGTATGTCACGAGAGGCTTAAGTCACGGGTAATTTGGATGATCAGTCTTATTGTTCAATAAATTCTGATAACAATAAGGTCACGGGGATGATCAACTCAATTTATAATTATGGATTTTACGGTTGATAAATGACTTAGGTGTTAAGAGGTATAGTTTATTAAGGAACAACTTCTACTATTTGAACTTCGAAGTTTTTAGAGTTTTTGGTTTCAAGAACTCGAAGGAGTTATCTTTATTTGCGTGAAAAGTCATCGCATTATATAGTTTTTTACATTGCTACGGCTGTAATGGCTCAGCACTTAATTTTACATATGCCAACAAGTTTTCCTTTCCTTGAAGATGAAGAAAATGAAATAAATTTCATTTATTTCATTTCCGAAATCTTCTTCACCTTCGATCCTACCCAAATAGGTATTGAAGCATAATTTTGTTAATTCTACATTACTACTATATTGACTAACTATGCTAAGCTTACACTTTTAGAATATAACCGATACAATGGTACAAAAATAATAATAATAAAAATAAAAATAGAAAAAAAATAAATTCAAGGCCACTGGAGCCCCTTACAATTCCCCTCCACTAAATTACGAGTTCCACAAGTATCTCCTTACAATAAGAAATGATATTCGGCAGCGGTCAATTTTCGGATGCCATTTAGGGTGGTGGTTTGGGTGCGGCACAGTTGCTTTGCACCCTCATTTCTCTCGAAGATATAGTAAGTGCAGGTTACTGCTATATAGTAGTGGAAGCTTAAGAACTGTTTAAAGGGGCAGGTTGGTCCTTTGGAATGCTGTTAAAGAGAGAGCCCAGGTAATAAGCATATACTAGGCTATCGATACATTTACTCTGATGGAGGGCTCTCTGCATGAAATAATTGCTGGTCGATATTTTGGTGGGTTATCTTGATCGTTGGAAAAAGGGCATGGAACTGGGCAGACATAGAATGGGAGAGCTAAGCTTCGATTCAATTGGATTTGTTGAACAGAGGTGAGATTTCCCATATTGGTCATTTGAGGAAAAAAAAAAAAATTAAGAGCTTTTCTCCATCCTATTTGTATTTCTCACTCAAAGTAAGGCTTTAACAATGTTTTATTGACTGGTGTTGCTAGTACTTTTCTATTTATTTCTCTTATCTTGTATGTACCATTTGGAAAGTTAGAATGAATGTAATATGGTCCCTTCCATTTGGGTGTAAGCTTATTGCTACATGTACCCAGTTTTCGGGCATCTAAAACAAGAACTTTTTCGCCTATATTAAAGTCATTAGTGGCTTTTGTACATCGATTATAATGTTCTTTTTGTTTTTGCTAAGCCGCATCGATCTGGCCCAATACTTTCTTACGCACTGCCGCCAGATCACTGTCAATCTCATATAATCGCTGAATAATAGTTCTATTCAGTAGGTCTTCTGTTGTACTAGAATGTAATGGTAGTTGGGCCGTCCTTCCATAAACCAAGTAGAAGGATGTTTCACATGTTGTGGCTTGCTTTGCCATCCAGTATGCAAACAGAATTGAAGATACAATTAAGCTCCAGTCCAGTTAGTCATATTTGTTATTAATCATGCAATAGAGCTGCACAGGGTCTTGTTAAAGTGTTCAATGAGCCCATTTGTTTGCAGATGATAGAGGGTGGAGCAGTGATGCTTAATTCAAAGCCACAAGTAATTCATCAACAATATGATTGTTAAAATGGGACCCTTGATCCGTTAGTATTATGCTGGGGCAGCCATGTTTGCATATTATGTCATCGTAAATAAACTTGGCTACTTCTTGGGCATTGGCCCTGGGGACTGCGCGAGCCTCAGGTATTTGGTCATATAGTTAGTGTCAACAATAATGTATTTGTTGGATCGCGAAGTAACAGGCAATTGCCCGACTATATTGATGCCTACTTTATGAAACGAGGCTTTGACAGGTATTGGATGTAGTAATTCTTTCGATTTTCAAATTCCATATAGTTGGCAATTTTCACACATTTTTACATATTCTCAAATATCACGATATATTTGGGGCCAATAATAGTACTCGCGAATTTTGTTAAACATAATGTCTTTCCAGAAATAAGCTCCCATAAGGTGATCATGGGCTAAGGTTAGAATTGACTCTAGTTCTTCTTCTTATAATACTTTCAGTAGTTTCCTTGAGGCTTTTGTTTAAACAGACTTCTGTTTTTAACCTGGAAAAATCTGCTTTGTTTTCTTAGCTGGTTTTGTTGCTAAACATCATAGTGTTGTGAGTATTGTCATTGCTGAAGGTATGTTTTTAAAGCTGTGTATTGTTGGGGCTCCATCATTGAATTTTTATAACTTGTTTTCATTCTTTTCAACTTTTCGTTTATAGCCAGGACACCAACAACCTGGGCCATATTGAGCTTTATATCAGATTTAAGGCTGATTGAAGTTTTTGTTTTTGCTTGATTTGTCGATAATTTGAATTGATTTGGGTATTAATTAACAACCAACTCTTTTTCAAATATTTCTGTGTATTTCTTTTAGCAGCTTTTTGGTTTTAACCCTTTTAATTTCATCAATGTTTGGGTTTCTTTATCGACTCCAATTCTGTTTTGATAGCAATACCCAACAATATATGGGTAGTCATATAAGTATTTTCTTGAATCGTTAATGTTGAAACATTTTTCTTTCTTTTTGTTTAGTCAATTCGTCCTTTCTCTTTCTTGCGATTATATCTTCTGTATGGATGGCCACATAGGTAATTGCCTTTTCACTTTCCTTTCGATTGCTTTGAGTAAATGCCATCTACATGTGTCGATACTACTCTGTATTAGTGATCCGAATCGACTAAAATTTTTTAGTTGACTAGTTAGTCAACTAATTTTATGATTAGTCGACTAGTTATATATTATATAAAGTAAATACTATAAATTACAATTTATTAGTCAACTAATCAAAAATGTTGATTAACTATTAGTCTATATTAGTGTTGAGTTTTTTCAAATTTCATGCGAATGGAATTTTGGCCCACATTATAAAAATTTGGCGGGCCAGAATTATGTTCTGAAATATTCTGAAACCTCCAAAATATTCCAAGTACATGCACAACACTACATAGTCTATATATTTAATATCTTTATTTTTAGTTGATTTTTAGTCGACTAATAAAATTTAGTCAAATAGTTGATTTTAGTCGACTTAGTCAACTAAAAATTAGTCATTTTCTATCACTACTCTGTATGGCTTTTCTTGTGGTTTTTAAAGTCTTTCTTTCGTAGCTTTGAATTCTTAGTCTACACTTAGACCCTTATAGCACAATATTAGTATATCTTGTTGGTATTTTAATCTTTGGTCAACCTCAATTTTGGTTTAACTCAGTTTTTCCTTCATTTTTTGTTCACAAGTTGTTTTTACAGCTCCTTGATTTTAGCCAGTGTTAATTCCACTGTTTTTCATCAATGTTCGGTTATCAATTTCATTAAAAACTAATAATTAACTTTTCTTTAGATAGTTCAGTTATCTCTAATTCCAGTTTATAGGTATAACATTTTCTATTATGAAAATCTTCAGAATTGGGTTCAGTTCCTGAATATTGTCCTTGCTAGTATTGTCTTGGATCTAGCTTTGATATTTTTAACTAATAATTTTACAGAATCTTTTGAATAGGGCTCCACAACTCGCCCTATTCTATCCTAACTATCCTCATTCTAGTGTCAGGTCTGTATATGAGAGAAAAAAAAGGAAAGAGAAGAAGTAAAGAAAAAATAATAATAATAATAATGATGATAATAAAATAGCCTATAGTAAAAAGAAGTCTTAGAGAACATTCTTTCTAATGATCACTAAAACCAAATTTTCCCACTAATAGAAAAACAAAATTTTTGTTGGAGAGTTGTGGCCTATATTACAGTTTGTCTAGAGGTCAATATTAGCTGTGTTTTGGGACTCCTCTATAATTCAACATTTGGCATGCAAGCCAAGAGTGTTATTATACAAGATAACTAGCAGGAGGTGCCCTTGTATAAAAAATCTTGGTGGAGCGTAGGCAAAGAGCTCACTTTTGTCAATAAAGTTCTTAGATTGTTAATTCAAAGAAGAACACAGAGGAAACAACAAAAAATTTTTTTTTCTAAAGCCACACTCTTTTTTTTGGGTTTGGTGGTTCTCCTCTTTCTTTTTCTTGCCCTCCTATCAGTCTTCCAAAATTTGTTACAAAAAGTGGGGATTTGGCTTACCCCCTTCAAAAGATTAGCATTGTTTACTTTCCAAATTTGGATGGACTCAGTAGAATGCAACCACATGACATGTTTGTTTACAAATACGGCGCTATCTCAGAAATTGGATCGGGATCTCTAGTTAAAGAGATATCCAAAGGCAATTATAAGTCGGAAGAACTTTATACATTAAGGTAAAGCTTTACACTAGAGATATACAATTGTTGCATTTATTATATAATTTTTTAGTCTTGCACAGGTTATAATAGTGCATTCTAATTATGTAAAAAGGTGAAATTTCTCTCGACTATTATCTTTTTTCTATAAAATGTTTTTATTTTTCCTGTTTTTTCTTTTTTTTGGGTTTTTTATTTTTATATTTCCCTTACTCCCCCTTTTATATTTCTTTTTTAGTCATAGTTCATTTTCTTTTTTTTATAGATTTTTTGATAAAATAATTCTGCTTGTCCACAAGCTAGTACAACAGGTTGTATTTAGGACTATAGGGTAACTAAGTGAAGTTGGGCTTTTAGTTCTATATATTAAATATATATAATTTTTATATATTTTTTTAATAAAAAGCAAGCCACGGAAAACCCATGAAGTTTAAAAAAAAAAAAAAGAAGTCTTAACAGTTTTACAAACTTGTAGGTTTATAATACTTAATACTAAATGATTTAAATTATAAGTATCAAAGAAAAAAGGTTTTAGAGAATGTTTTTTTTATTTTTTTTTGGTTTTACTTAATAGTTCTATCAAAGTTCTGTTCTAGCTATATTTTGTGTGAATTTTTAACTTTAATTAACTCTTGCAAGATGGGTATTATTTCTATAGAGAATCATTGTATTCCCAATCAATATATTTGTCCATTGATTGAGACCATTCATCTTCATCGAGGTCCATCTCTGAGAAGTCTAAAAATGTGTTATTTTGGTTAGGCTCATTCCAATTTTCATTAAAGTAATAGGAGTTGTAATTGTCAAAGGTAGTGACATTTTATTTGAACTCCAACCCTTTAACAACTTCACCTCATTAGGGTATATCGATTAGGTAGATCTCATCAATATTCATTGGTTGTATTTCATTTTTAGTATAATTGGTACTTGGCAAACTATCCTGGTCTTCATTATTTATTGCCTAAGTTATTTCTATTCTTGTCTCCATGGCTAGTTTGATTAGAAGGTTCTGTAGATTTATTTCTCATACCATCATGCTAGTGGTAAGTTTCTCATCCCATGTATAGTTTGTTCTGTATTTTCATCAGTGTTTTCGGTATCTTCATTATATTTCCATTCACTCTCTTCCATACTAAAGTCCCAAGAAATGGTATCTACTTCTTTGTCTGAACTATTGATAAAATGTTCTTAGGCAATTGCCCTGAATATTTCAATTTCTTTCATTTTAGCTTCTTGTACTTTGGAGGCTTTTTGAATAGATTGGTTATGGCCTTCAATATTTCTCATATCTGCAGCTTTTTGATAATAATTAGCTATTTCATAGCTATTTCTTTTTTCTTTAGGGGGCTCTTCAATCATACAAGATAAGGCATCTGCATTATTATAGACTCTCTTCCGGCCTATAGGCTATAGTGAAATGATAAAGTTGGAGGCGAAGAATCTATTAAGCTCTTCTTTCTTTCAAAACGGTGCTATATAGCAATTTTAGAGCTGTGTGGTCAGTAACAATAATAAAGGGCTTGTATCTGAAGTAATGATGAAAGTATTCAACAGCCCAAACTATGGCATAACACTCTAATTCTGAGCTGCATAGTTCCTCTCAAGGCTTTTGCTGGTATAAGCAATTGCATATTCTTTTTTATTTTTGTCTTTTTGGG